CGTGCGCCCCGGGCCTGGCCGTGCGTCCCCGGGGCCTGACCGTGCGCCCCGGGCCTGGCCATGCGCCCCAGGGCCTCACCGTGTGTCCCCGGGGCCTGGCCTCGTGCAGACGGCGGCGGTGTGCGCTGGCGTCTGAAAGGTGCAGAAGTTGTGGTTTGTGCTGGGTTCCCTCCTCCAGGATCGCGGTTTTCTCTTAACGACAGGCCGGGAACCCGGCTGGGTGTTTCTGCTGGTGCCTGGGGTGGGGGTCACAGCTGATGGAGGAGGGTGTGAGCTTGGGGCGTTGTGGGGGAACTGTGTGTTCTTCCTACCCGGAGAATGGGGACGGTGCTAGTGATGGCAGCGGGGATCTGGAGGGGCTGCTGTTTAGGGGGCCTCTTGTTCAGGATATTTCCCTCCTCCAGGAATATGTGTGGATATAATCATCGGAGAGGAAAGATAGGCTTGCCTGTGTGTGTGTTGTGCGTGTCTAAGTGTGTACGTGTGAAATGCAGCTCCCAACTTAAAGCCTGGTAGTCTGGGCCACAGCCATGAGCCCACCGAAGGTGGCCATCCATCCAAGCAAAGGCGGAGTGTCCTGTGTTTTGAGATCCCGTTAGAGGAAGAACTCAGCCCAGCACTGATTGAGTGGGGAGGGAGGAGAACGGCAGGCATGGTGGCGGCGGGTACTGAGGACAGACGGCCCTCGCTGGGGGGTTGAGTTGCCCAGAGATGGGGCTCTGAATGAGAAAGCACGGGCAGGTGAGGACGGATTGAAGCCTGGCGCCGGAGCCCGCAGGCGGCCGCCCGCCTCGGCCTCCCGCCCTGGATCTCCATCCCTTCCCTAGATGAGCAGGCCGGGGCCGGCGGGACTGCTCGTACCCAGACCCGCACTTGCATCAACAGCGCGGCCCGGGGCCGGGGCCCGGGCTCCCCGGGGCCTCGCATCTCCCCACGGCTCCCCTTTGTCTGTGGGCCTGGGATCGGATTTGTCTCCCTAGATCCCCAGGCCAAGCGCGGGGAGTGTGAGCCGCGGCGGCGGGGGTCCGGGGAGGGG